GGAAGCTTCTTAAGCTCTGAATGTGGGTTTTGTTCTTGCTATTCCTCCGCTTGGCTGACAGAAAATAGGTAACTGGATTAGGCCTCAAATTCAGAGTAAAGTGAACTCCCAAAAAAACTTTGTATGCCACCCCCACTATTTCAGCCCCCCGGTTCTCATGTCCACCCCTCTCCTTCGGCGTCAGCAGACGTGGGCCACTGGGACTGTGATCTGTAAGACTGCAGGGAGATTAGGCCGGGCTGGGGGCTCACAGCCTGAAGGGGGGCTATAAAGTAAGAGTGCTAAAGGCAGTTAAGGGCTCCTTAATGGGGGTAAGGAAGTGTATTAATCAACTCAGCGCTACCAAAACCCAGAGCTGCAGGGCCCGGCAAGAGTGGCGTGCAGGTGGTCTAGTGCTCTACGGGGAGTCAAGGAGGGGAGGAGAGGAGGTTCAGTCGCATACAATGCCACTATAAAAGATTAAAAACTTTGGGAGAATGGGGACTCGCTGTGACCCGCCTCCTACTCTAGGAGCTGAGAGGATGGGTGGAGAGGAGGAGAAAACACACACAAGCTAATGTACCTGGACATCAGTGCATTTATACATTTATTTTAAAACGCAATGCTACAATACACTACCAAATAAAGTGTGCGCTAATATGAAGTCATGGAGGACTTCAGTGCTGGTTATCAAATATGTAAATCTGTGTGTATGATTCCTACGTCTCTGTACACAAATATGTAAATGTATATGTATGATGCCTACGTCTTTGTACACTTTTGTCAGAATATGGTCTCTTACTGAAAGAACGCAAATGAATATAGAGCAGCAATTCATACCCAGGAGGTACTTAGTAAGTTGCAGGGGGTACAAAAACATTTAACACTTAAAATAAATAAATAAAATAAGGCTACCTAAAGATTAATATAATCAATCTAACAATAAACAATCTAATTATTTTATTTTTGTAATTAAAGGCAACACATTTTGTAATTGTTTTGCAATTTCAGTTACTTTAGAAAAAACTTTAAAAATTGGGTAACACTTTTACAATAAGGATCAATAAGATTTGTTAACTTCATTACACTTCTAAAGCATTTGTTAATCTTAGCTACATGTTCATTTCAGCATTTACTGATACATTATTTAAATTAATATTTGTCTCTTAAAACTGCAGTCCATAAGTTTTGCCTCTTTGTCGCCATCTCTGTTTGAAAACCTGCAATTGCAGCTATTTGCGGAACTATCTTCCTTGCGTGGGTTGTGCACTGGCACGGCTTCAGCGCGGATTAATCTAATGTGTGGCTGTCAGTCACCGCACAGGTGTGGATACTGCCCTTTGTGTTCACTGATTCTACATCTTGAAAGTATGTCCCAAATAAGAGTTTTCATTGGAGAATATCATCTGAACAAGTAACAAATGCCACTTTTGTTCTGATCAACTGAGGAAAAAAAGCATTACAATAACCTGCGCTATCAATGGTGATTAAATCTAAGGATCGGTTAGCTCATATCACATCAAACCGTGCCAATTATTATTATTGTTATACTTTGTTTTCAAATTGTTGTTGACATTAATAACATCAGCATTGCGTGAGTGCGTGTATTTAGTGTGTACTAGCGTTACCTGTAGATTTACATTTCTGTACAGTCTAATCTCTAATTGTCATACCATTTGAATTTCATATAAAGAAATTGTTCTTGTAACCCAAAAAGCAAATTAAAGTTCCTTACAACTTGTTCTCTTTTAAATAAATCTTTTTAGTAATTAGCTGCTGTGAGAAAAGGCTATAAACGATCCGTCACCTGCAGCATCCTCACGTGCGATATAGCATACTATCCGGGACAAATTCTTTATGCTTACAGACGAATTTCCCGTGAAAACCTACCCGTACCACTCAACTTAGAAAACTTTATTACAAGCTTACCGTTGTGAATCGAGCTAAAGTACGGCGATAGTTTTTAACACCGGCTGGTTATGTACTTGCTCAAAAAATTATTTTGGATCATTTTTAACCAAAAAAAGTTACGGACGGCAGCTTTAACATTATTTAATGGACACAAGTTAATAGTTGCATTTCATTAACAAATAATAATAAAAAAGATTGATAAATACTGTAACAAATGTATTGCTTATTGTTAGTATGTTAATGCATTAATTAGCGTTAACTAATGGGCCTTATTGGAAAGTGTTACCAAAAATATTGTAGTCAGTTTGTGTTGTTTTTACCTTCAAAATAAGTCACTAGGAAACAACATAAATAACAGTTTTAAAACATGAACAAAGGTGTGGTTACATTTCTATATAACTGAATTTGCATTAATGATCTGTTAAAAAAAACTAATATATATTATATTATATTATTATATATCATTTTTTGAAGAAAATTTGTGTAGTACTTGCCCATGGAAAACTCGTCACCACTATACTAAGCGCCTTCCAGGACACTGCTATGTGTTCTGAGTGGTTTTAGGCTTTTGTTTGATTACTAGCCCGTTTTAAAAGAGCCCACCATTGAGTTTTAATCATATTTTGTGCCTAGAAAGGTCGTGGTTCTAAGTTTAATAATTAGGGTTAGGGGATTAGAAGGAAAAGAAGCATTAAAACAATACAGATTATTTGCAACACTAATAGCAATGTTTGCCTTAACAATCACAGCTAATAATGCTTGTAAATATTATGATAAACTATTTCCAACGTTATGAAAGTCTTTCCACAGTATGTTTTTATGCAACTATAATCACTTAAGTACTATTGCACATGAAGCCTTAACAAACATAAAGGACCTCAAAGTATACAAAGAAAATTAAATCCGAACGCTGAATCATTACATTTCAGCCACTGCCAATGTGCTGCAGGATATTAGTTATATAAAAACGAAACAAACCCACAACACACATAAACTAAAGCTTGAAATCATTTCAAAAGGGTCCCTTTAATATTTCCCTGCAGTGGCTCAAAACATAACGGCATTTCCACTTGGCAACAGCACTTCAATGCTCCCTACAGGAATTCACAAGCACACATACAGTATAAGTCACAAACACACGGTCATCAGCGTTCGTCCTTGTGCTGGTGCAGCTCGCACCGGTCTGAAGCTGCATAATGCGGAAGAGTGGAAAGCCGGCAGACGTCACAGTGCAGAATACTGTAAGGCCATCCGGCAGAACTGGCCTAACAATCTCATACTACTAGACATATAATGTGCCAAAAGTTCAGGAGAAGAGCGAGAGATGCTAAGTCATCTCATTATATGAATCCCAAACTATCCCAGCTGAAATATTTATTAAGACATTAATATGGGTTCTTCCATTCCTCCTTTTCAGGGTGATGCAGCTCCTCTCGGAGACATACACACACTCCTTCTCGATCTCTTCCTCAACACACATTGCTGCATGTGCGCATGAAGATGTCAGCAGCATCGAGCTCTTATAGATATTGACAGTGAGTTTTTCCATTATACACAGCAGCCTGGAAAGCAACTTCCTCTATTCACCACACCAACACTGATGAAACGCCTCAGAAATGGACGAGGTGTTGAAATCTCAGATTCACACTCACTGATGGCTATTTCATAGATTTTTTTTTCTCTTACTGAGCGCGCGTGTGTGTGTTAAAAAAAAAACAACTTCATCTGGGCAACACCACTGAATTCTGTCCTCATTGAGAATTTATTAAGGAAGGATAGGTGTCAGAGTTAGTTTATGGCGATAAAAAGAGGGTAATTAAGAGAATTTGTTTACAAAGAGAGGAAAAGTGAGAGGTTTGATGTTTTAAAGCTGACTTGATGCTAATAGTGCAGATAATTATACCTCAGTGTGCCTTGCGTGTGTGTGTGTGTGTGTGTGAAGGTAGCCTCAGAAGTGTGTTGACAGCTCACACACCGTCCGCTACGGAGTCAACGACGCTAAATGACAGTACAAGGAGTGTGATGATATGCGACGTGGCCGTCAAATGGTGATAAAACAAAGTGCTAACTTTCGGGAGACAAATTTGATGTATTTCCAATTGACGCTTCCTTGTTTCATCCGGTTGCCTCATGGTTTTGCATTAGAAATTATTTGTTTCTTTGATTTAGAATGTATTATCAGTGGTGTGCATAATGTATATGCAAAAATGTGTGTTTGATAGACTGTGCATTGTATAATTTGTGAATACTGTGAAAACAGTTAGACTAAGCTAAGCTTTTTGCTGAAGATACCATTACATTTCTGATGCCTTTAAGGTCATTTGCATGCTTTGTACTCTTGAAGTCAGCATGAAAAGAAAATTCATGCGATCCATTTTCTAAATGCTTGTTATTGATCTAATTTTGAACGATTCATCCATGCATTTTTATGACCATCATTTTTTATTAAAATATCTTCCTGTGAAAAGAGCATACTTCTCTCTGTAGACATATGCCAGACTTTCCCAATCATTTAATCCGCTTAAACCCTGTAGCCTCCATTTTTGAGAGCAACGGACACAACTCAAAATCTATATAGCCAAGTCCCCACCTTCCTTTTATTTATTTTTTTCAAAAACCTGTTATACTTGGATGCGTGTCAAAATATGGAAGAAATGATTTGCTGCTACTTCTGTTTCGTCGAGACATTAAATGTTGACAAAATTAACTTAGCAGATATTTGCATTTAAAAATGACTATTTCTTTACCGAGAAAATAACTCTGCACAGATTTTTGTCCAATCAGATGCTCTCTAGAATGAGAATTTCCTTCTCCCTAATGGTTCAAAACGGTGACATAACTAATGTATACTGTCTATTAAAAATTATTAAAATGGGAAAGCACTTCGGCAGAAAGCGCATCAAGGAATAAAAACTGTGCTTATCAAGCTGAGATTTTACAAACAGAGAAAGTGAGATGAAAAATCTGGATGTCGTCCAAATTCTCCACAGCCTCTTGTCCGCACATGTGTGGCCCACTCACTCAGCTGCCTAAAACCCCTTCTCACCCTCTATTTCACCTCATATTCTTTTCTCTCTCTCCACACCCATCATCCTCCCTCAGCCACTCACTCGTATCGGGATGTGCTCCATCTCTCTTTCCTTCTGTGGGTTGCGATACTTCTCATAAAAGTCCTTCTTTTTCTTGTTCTCCCGCTCTTCCTTCCTCTCTCTCTTTTCAGCCGGCTCATCAGAGGCATCCGGGGACAGTTTCTTGGCTGAATCCGGAACCTTCTCCACCTCCAGAGAGTTCTCGTTGGGGTTCAGCACAATCACCCCGTAGCCCTCCTGAGAGACAATACACATACAAATGAATAAACAAATAAACAGGCTCCAATGCTCTTTCTGATTGTATTGGAGTTGCCAAAACAAACCAGCCCTTCATAATAAAGCAAGGTGTCCGGGGAGAGGCATGTATGCCAGCGCTGTGAGTCAAGGCATTGTGTAGCATGCAGTAGAGGAGTGAACTGTTGGGAGAGGGATTAGAGCGGCTCTCAATGCGAACGGAGGTCAGTGTTGCTTTCATGTGTGCTCAAATTCAGCTTCAGCTTCAGTTAGTGCGCTGACATTCGGCATAAAGAGCAATACTGATACTGCGGAAATCCAGCTTTGAGGAAATCCAGGAATACATACACGCACACACACACATATATTTATATATATACCCCCCCCCCCTTTTTAATAAGTCAAAATGATAATGTTTTAGATAAATTAATAAATTAATAAAAAAATATTAAACCACTGTAAAAGAAACTAATTTTTTAAATCAAATAAAACCAAATAAACCAAAAAACACCATATAAAAAGCAAAACAATAATTAAATAAATAAACAAATAACACATTTAAAGCCTTTAATACTGAATGGTAGCAGTGTCTCAGTGGTAATAAAGTGTCTTTATGGAGAGCAGGTAAATATCAAATAGTCTGCTGCTTATTCTGCTGCCCAGCTCTAAATAAATACATAATACACAGTCAAACTCCCGCAAAAGAGAATCACCATATCAAAGTCTCCCAGACGGCTCAAAGTGAATTCTGATCCCTGCATATGCTAAAAACATGACCAGTGCTTATAAATCAAACTTCACAAAAAAAAAAATAATAATAATAATGCGATTTAAAAATACTTTCCCAAATTAAATACAATTATTTAAAAGTATAATTATTTCAATGACATAAAAAACTAATAGCATTTAATCACAAAACATTCATATTAAAAGGCATCTAATCAACAATTCTGAAGCAATAAAACAGTTTTCTACATATGACAAATTATTTTTTTCCACCAGCAGAAGAGCTTCAAACTATTTGCATTGCTGCAACAACAAAGAAGCAAAGGTGTCATTTTCAAAACAGCTAATTAAAAATTAAGCTTCTGTCAATAGCAAACAATTATAATTATTTCACATGATGGACTGCAAAGCAAGCATTTTCACGTCTAATCAATACAAATAAGCTCACACCAGCATTTTACTAATGCAACTAATAAAAATTAAAAACACTAATATAAGATTATTATGTGCTCATATAGTTTTAAATACATTTTAAAACCAGAATATAATTTACAGTTAAATATAAAACAAATTAAACTGCATGCATATTAAACATTTAACACAAAATCAATGCGATCATTAAATGATAAAACCGCAGCCAATGTAATTAATTTCTGTTGAACTCCGAGTCAGTTTCTGATTAAATAAATGTCATGTTCTTTGAAATCCAGTCAGACAGCCTGTGGTGTGTAAAAGTAGAGGCGGCGTTTATCAGAGTTAGTCTAAACTGACCAGACTTGGGGATGAAATTTGTAGTTAGTTGTTTCTGTCTGGCAGGCTGGTGTCATATAAGTGATGTTGGTCGGCTCTTACTGTGGTGTAGTGGTTAGACAGTGTGGCGAGAGAGGCAGAGTGAAGCTCGGTGCCACTGCCCACTGGTGGCAAGTTGGATAAATGACCAAGACTGGTGCTTAATAAAAACCAACAAACTCTCCATTGCCCATTCTTATCTTTTGTTTTGAAATAATAATGTCTTTAAAGCAGAGGTTATAGAATCATTTGCATAAGTGGACTAAACTGAACTTAGTTTTGAACTTAGGTTCATGCAGTACCATTGGTCTCATATCTACCACTTCAATAAAATATATTTCCAGCAACACAGGGTATTTTCAGCATTCATAAACAATCATAAAATCTAAAATGTTAATTTACACCAAAAATTGTCAAAATTTCAAAGAGTAGTTGTACAAATATCAGCAAATTAATGTTTCGATAGTTTTTCACATTTATCTAAATGATAGTTAATCAAAAATGTACAAATTAAATGATCCAGAAAAAGTGTGTGTCCGAGTCTGTACATTACGCAGTTGAAGCTAAATTAATTTCAGAAAACTGTGCAAGAGTAATATAATAAAAAAAATTATATAAAATAACAATGACGATTATTATTATTATAAATAAATGGGAAAAGCATAAGAATAACAATATTTAAATAATTGTAAAAAAAAAAATCTATATCAATGACACTTATATGTAAAAATATTAATACAACATGACGATGATTTATAATCTTGTGCCTCTAATAGTTACTGACAAATAAAATGCACTCATGACCAGGCTTCCGTTTCTATGTTTAGCATTCAAACTTCGCAATGTTGTGCGTCCTGTTATCTGAAAGACTGCAGAGCCTCTCTCTCTCTTCTGTTACGACGCATTTGCCATATCCCGGCCTCTTCCCATGCCCTCCTGCCCTGGCAGGCACCTCCTCGAGGGGCAAGTGGCGACAGGGTCTGGCCCCTGGGCCAGCGGTCAGCGCAGGTCACCGCAGCCCCTCACTGGGGCTCAGACCCCCATAACCCGCCGCTGGACTGCCTCTTTAGTGCTCTTTTGTCCGGCTGTCTCAGACCGGCCGACTTCTTGCACATAACACAACAATGGCTTGATCTCTCCGAGCTGTGACTGACACCCCGGTGACATTCTGGAAAATTCTCTGGGTTTTATTTGTGTGTGTGTGTGTGTGTGTGTGTCTGTGTTGTTTTAATTATACAACAAAACAGCTCACCTTTTAAGAACCCGGTTTAAGATGGGGCGAGGGAATGCATAGAGCTCAAGATTAAAGAACAGAGCATTTCTACGCGGCCAAACAAACGCTACAAAAGATCCATCACCATGAAAACATTCTGCCACAGCGTATTTGCACATTTACTGATACAAACACAAAAAAACGGACTGTTCGGTTTGATCCGGTTAAATGCGTAATTGATAAGTACAGCAATGATGCCGTGTCCCTCAAATCAGCCCTTCTCAAATAAACACTATTTTAAGTCTGAATGGCTGAAATGAGACATTGCTAATAATCCTACACCTCTGACGGACAGGCCAGTGTTTTATCTATTTGCGGCCCTTTGTTTGGCTTTGAAGTGAGTGTGTCTCTCTTTATGTCTCTGATGAACTAAAGCGTGTATTGCTCTGGGCCTTGCGGTGAGAACAACACTTGACGGGTACAAAGCACGCTTGATAGCAGTATGGAGTGTACGTGTTTGTGCGTGTGTGAGATAAAAATGCCACGTGAATGAGTATGTTCCATATGTAACCATTCGCACAGGAATCGACATATAACTTGGCACACCAACATGTTTTTTTTACGTCCTACAACGAGAGCATGTTAATGTGGCAAAAATGCGTGCGTGTGCGATCAAAGCGGGAGGTGGCGAGCTCTCGGTGTTAAAAGCGACGGACAGACTCTCCATTACAGCACGGCCTTGGCCTGGCCCCCTGTGTCGGGGCGTCCTGTTCTCTGATTGGCTGTCGTCTGTGGAAATGCCCACGGCTGAGTCGTCTAGCCAATCACAGAGAAAGAGGCATCAAGGACAGTGCGTGATGATTGGCGGAGGGAACAGATGATCTGCGGAGAGTCGGCACATATTTACACACACACATACAAAAACTCAAACAGAGATGCGAATTGAAAAAAAGATTTGATTACAAAAACTAAAAAATTACACCCTTAAGCATATCGAGCAAATGTAATAACAATAATAACATTTGCATAACCCTTACGAATACAGAAGCGCAGCAATACACGAGACAAGCCGACTGACCGGCAATACGGTGCCGCTCTCTCTCTCCCTCCCACATACTGTGAGAGAATCGGTGAGTGGCACGGGTCCGTATTACAGTCTTTCATTACAGGTTGGTGTGGTGTGCCCCCTCTAGGCGAATGTAAATCCAGGATACAGTATTATAAACCCGAGCCCTGTGAGGGTGAGATTGAGGCCTGCCTTTCAAGGCCACCTCTACTCCCCGCCCCACAGTTCTGGGTGACCTTGTCTGTCAGCGGCGCTACATGGGCTTCTTTTCTACTGTGCGAGAGCCCATTATCCTTTTCTCCGAGATACCACACACAAACCTCCTCTCTTTTTTTTCCTCTCTGTGAGATTAAGACCGCTTTCACCCCCCCCCCAGGTCCTTCTGCTCCTCTATACAAATATAACCGGTCCTGATTGGATGAGACGACACATACAGACATGCACAGCACTAGATCTGGGCAGTAAGCTGGTATATACCGTATACTGTCAGCGGGTTGAGATTTTGCTGTACTGTTTATACAGTGGTTCATATTCGCACAGCAAAGACAATCTTGACATTGGCATTATTACACAACTTGTTATATAGGGGTGTTGTATTGCTTAACGAAAGTGCTTAGTCATTTATTGTTGCCAAGCAATGACACAACGAGCCATATTAATAGAAACCGATGTGTGTTCACAGATATGCATGTACCGGCAGTTTTACAGCAACTTCAGATAAGAATTAAGTATCTTAAAAAAATTTAGTTTTATAGTTTGGGATGCAATAGTATTACATTTCTAGCCAATGCCGATAAGTTGAACATTTTTACATGTGATATTTAATTGATAAATAGACATTATTAAAATTGTATACAAAAATATATACTAAAAAGAAAAAAAAAAAAGAAAAAAAACACACATCAATTGCTACAGCCACATTTAGACATCATAATGTACAGGATTTAAAAAAATGGATATTACATTTTAATATTTGCTAAACTGTTACTTAATAAAGGTACATTTCATGTAAAAATTGTTCAAATGAAATATCCAGAAACGATAAATAATAACAATAATAATAAAATATCTAATTATGACAATAAAAAATTCCAAATAACCAAAATATTGTGCATTCCATTTTGTAATATTGGTTGTATAGTTTTATGAGACGTTTTTTAACTGATGTCAGATTTGTTACTATAATTATATATTTTGCCTTGCGACCCT